TTTTTCAACTGGCATTCATTATCGTAGGTATTTTCATCTGAGCCGCACACTGGTCTTACAGCATCGTTGTAGCATTTCACGCATTTACATACAGGCTTGTCATTTTCTACAGTACAGTGTGCATACGGTCTGGTACACTTAACACCCTCGCATCGGTCAACAGCTAAGGAAGGAAATTTTGTTTAATAATAGACTCCTTCACGGCTCCCTGCGCCATCTTGAAAGGTAGCCGTGCCTTTACATCGAAGCGAGACAACCGTTGAGCGTGCAATGATAGATACCTGTGAATAATTGTCAGTAGGTGTGAAAGAAGGTTTCTATCATTGCACGCTCAACGGTCGTCTCGCTTCGATGCAAAGGCACGGCTACCATTCAAGATGGCGCAGGTAACCGTGAAAAAGACTATTGAATACAGTCAACTCTCTCGTGAGCGACCACCAATGATTTGTAAATGATTTTTAAAGTCACTTCTCACCCTCAGGACAGAACGACTGCCCAATGCTCTGTGTTTTTTCTTTCAAACCCTTGAACGAGGTAGAAGTGTATACATTCCTAAGTGGATTGCTTGAGATATCTTGCAACTCCGTCTTGTCGAATTTCTTCCCAATACCCAAGGAATAAACTGCAAATCCCTTGTCTTTTACTGGCTTTGACGCGATACTCAATGGCGTGTAAGGCTTGCCTGGTTGGTCCTTTGTCTGGTGACCATCAGTAATTACTAATAACACCTGTGAATGGACAAGATTGAGATGATTACAGCAAGTTTATAACTTGATTGATATGCCTTGATTGGTTGAAATGAGGGCCTTACATTCCCGTATGGATCGGAAGGTTTGAAATCACAATGGTTTTTCCTTGCTTGAAATGCCATATTTTCCAGACACTAGCGCGCTAACTCGTGCCAACTCGTGATTGGTTTGATATTTTCCAGACATTACGCGCGCTGACCATTAAGTAAATAAAAATAAATTCCTCGGTCCGTAAGTTCTAACGCTTGATTAAGTTATTAGTAAGCTATTACTAGTACGCCGGCTGAATGGGATAATAAAAACAATTTTAAAATGCATCATTACTTTAAAAAACGATTGCTAACCTTAGGAACATCTTTTCCTCTCATACCAGCAGCTGTTGTGAACACCTCCCTATTAGCTAATTGTATTCCTTTATCGATGAAAGTAAACCCTCGCATCCAGCGCATACGCATAATGAGTTTTCCGTATTCTTCTGCTGTTAACCTCGATCCTTTTAAGGTGTTAAACTTGAATACCACCTYAGGTGACGTACTATACATTACCATGGCAACGTGGGTYCYRTCTGGTCCCACATGGAAGAGTTGGACGATGTCAGATAGAAATTGTTTCATGCGAMCCCAGTTTYTCCTWCCAATGCTTCCAGATGARTCGACCACAAAGGCCAAATCTACTTTGATTTTACATTCTGGAATTWGAAARGTTAGATTTATGAAGTTAATGTTGGAGCCAGTCTATGCTTGCATCTGGGAGAAGATTTTATTCTTGAAAACTAAAAATTAGAAATCAAAACTTCAACCAAACAAACGAACAAGTAATCAACCAACCAATCAACCAATCAACCAACTAATCAACCAACCAACCAACTAATCAACCAACCAACCAACCAATTAACAAACCAACCAACTAACCAACCAATCAACAACTAATCAACCAACCAACCAATCAACAACTAATCAACCAACTAATCAACCAACCAACTAACCAACCAACCAACCAACCAACCAACCAATACCAACAAAAAGAAGTGTGTTACATTCTACTTTTTATATAAGAAAAATACGTGACTTACTGCAAGGTTTTCGATCAATAAGTTTAATAAACTCTCCCTTCTCGCATGATGATTTTTTTAGTGAACATTCATTATCGTATGTGACATCATCTGAACCACAGACGGGAGTYTTKGTAGTTGAACAGTTGAGAGGRCACTGGCAWATAGGCACCTCGTCAATCACATTGCACACGGAATGAGGCTTGGAACAAACAACKGTGTCACAAGGATCTAGCAGGAAAGTACGATAAGGAACGCTTAGACAATATCCTTGCAAATTGTTCTGTGGTTGTAATTTGACATCGTTATATCTAGTTATGATTCAGACTTTTAGAATTCGAGATATATTTACGGATATTTAGACGTTAACGGTCTAAGTTTAGGTGATTTTTAAGTTATACCTGAAATTCGATTTCAAGCAGTTCTTGAAAACCTTTACGTAAAAATACTCATACATTAAAAGCAGTTATTTTCCAGTAAACTCGAAAGTCAATTCCCGCGCGAAATATGCCGGTTCCGATTTCGTAAATTAAGTTTTCGCGAAAATTAGTACGACTTGTCAACGACTCACCTGGGTAGCAAACCCTATCAATGATTTCCTGGACTTTTGGTACCAGACTCCTGAAAGATGGGGCAGCAAAGACGTTTCTTACAGGATGAGATGAAATCTCGTTCAATTCGCTTCTCGAGACGCGTTTACCGATTCCCATGGCGTACACTCTGACATTTTTGTTCTTAACATACGACGATGCTTCAACTAATGGCGTCCATTCACCGCGTTTAGTTTGCTCGCCGTCGGTAAACACAATCAGTACCTGTCAATTAAAATACAATGGAACCTCGTTAATGCGGACACCGAAAGGAATCCCAAAGCGGACGATTAGAAGCACGTTGCTATCGGGTAGGCATTAAATCATGTCATGTTTATTAAAATACAATGTGTTTGATGTTTCTTTATGTCGGATTACAAAAAAATAAAAACGGATTACAAAAAAATAAAAATTAAAATTAAAAAAAAATCATTTTGTGTCAGAGTTTAAACTCAAAGTACCAATCTTCTACACAACAAATCTCTTCAATTCAAAGTTTAGGAATTGAAGAGGTTTCTTTATATAAAACGAAACAATTTTTACTAAAAATCCTGGTGTTTTGTTGCGTAAAAGATTGTTACTTTGAGTTTAAACTGACACAAATGAAATTTAACTAAATACAATGGAACCTCATTAATGCAAACAGCGAAAGGAAGCCCAAAGTGGGCGTATTAATAAAGATGTCGTTAAAGCGATTTTTAAAACGCTGCCAGCAAGGGGGCAGTTTACTTTGATCCCTTTAAAGCATGCTCTATTAGCCCTAGTTCAATTATAATTCCCATGAATATTGACTGTACCTTTTCAACATCGTCTCTCATTCCTGATGCTACAGTATATACCTCCCTTGCAGCAAGAATCAATGCTTTATCGATATACGTAAAACCACGTTGCCATACCATTTTRTCAACYAGTATATCGTAATTTTCAATTGTGATTTGRTTCCCTCTTAGCGAATTAAACTTGAAWGCAACTGCTGGGTTAGTACTGTATTCTACAATCGATACGTGTGTCTTTTCCGGTCCAACTTTRAATTTTCTGATAATGAGYTTTAYRAAGTCCTTCATTCGTTGCCAGTTTCTACGACCGATGCTTCCAGATGAGTCTACCAGGAACCCTAAGTCTACAATGGCATCGCAAGCTAATGGGAGAAAGAGAAGGAAAATTACTGAAGGTCTGTGTACATCCGACAACCTTTGCGTGATTTTCTCAAACACGAAATCAKTTTCAACCAATCAGAAAGCTWCTTTCTCAGATGCAAAKGCCCTTTCAAGCCCATTTGATTAATCTTTCATTTGACTTCGCTTTCATTAATGCAAGTCAACGTCCAATAGTTTCAAATAGAAATATACAAGCCAAACAACGTTAGCTGGAGTTGGGTAATCCAAATCTCTCGAAATWTAGCTAAAGTTTTAGTCTATAAATGTAAATAACCAACTAYGTCATCAAATARTCAGTCAATAASTGAATCAACTTACGGCATTTCCCTTTGGATTCCACTGATAAAGTCTGWCGAATTTTGCAGGAGACTTCTTGCATCTTACACTYACTGGAATACGTTTGCTTATTGCTTGCGCAAACTGGATCCTTAATGTCGGAYACGCAWYGCTGACAGAYACATACAGGTTCCTCATTAATGACCTTACAMACTGAGTAAGGTATCCTTCTTTCGCACTTAACATTAGCACATGGATCTGAGGAACAATTTGGATATTGAAGTTCATTGATCATTTATATTTGTAATATTTTTTCATAAATTCTCTTTATAATTTAACAATAAGATTATATACATATAAWATATTTCTTTTTAATTTCTTCTATTTACATTTGTAATACAGTGGCCTGCCATTGAATAGTTTTAAGTACTCGCAGGTCAATGGAAGCCATGTAATTATATATTAATCAAAATGATAATAAAGTGTAAAGTGTAAAGAATCTTGTGTTTGCAGCGAAAGGAAATACAATCCACCAATTTTCTAGTCCTATCTAGATCAAGCCTTGGTGATAGTTTAGGTAAAGAACAGAACACTGGAAAAATTGATGTAAATATGATGTAAGTGCGCAAAATTCTGTAAATTTGATGTAAATGATTTCCATTAAATTTACAGAATTTTGGACACTTACATCATATTTACATCAAATTTACAACCTTTAAAGCGCGCGATTTTATCAAGTGGAAGAGAGAAGAAAATGAATGGAATAAGAAGAATAATTAATTTTAATTAAGTAATACATTAATTTTAAGACTTTATTGTATAATAAAACAATTACTTACCACATTTACCCTCGTGTGCAACTGTTATTAACATTTTTCTATTGCAAGAAGCTTGCATCATAAGGCATTCATTGTCGTAGGACTTTTTATTCGATCCACAAACCGGTTTGACGACTTTAGGACAGGTTTTAGGACAAGTGCAAGTAGGTTTATCATCGATAGCTTCACAGCTTGAATAAGGGATACTACTGCAGTCAAATCCTTTGCAAGGATCTGGAAATGACCGATATATAAGTTAAGACATACATATGACAAAATTAGAAGAAGATTTAGCTTATAATATAAAAGAAAAATGGAGTCAATTGTAGAAAGTTTGTTCGCTAACTCAAAAATGTACATTAATTTATGATGTAGTTGATATTACAAATTTAAACTTTACTTTGTCATCAAATTAATTGAAGATTAATATACGTAATGCTTAAGTATTTGAATGATTTCCGATACGTTTTCTTGCGAGAAAATAGCGAAAATCACTGACAYGATACTACCGATGACGCACCCAATATAATATTACAAAAAAAACAAAAAACAAAAAAAAACAACAACAACAACAAAAAACAAAAACAAAAAACAACAACAAAACAGCTAAATTGCTGGATTTCAATCATTCTTATAAGATACTAATGAGAATCCTATGTTGAAGTACCTCCAAGATGGCCGCTGTGACGTAACCTGAAAACCAGCACCAAGAAAATAAATTTATGATAATCAAAATCTGCTTACCACAATCTCCTTTTCGTCGCGTAACTATCAGTTTTTCAGTCCTGCATGAAAATTGTTGCATCTTGCATTCATTATCGAACGTCTGTCCCTCTGATCCACATACCGGATCCACCTTGGCAGGGCAGTTATCGGGGCATGCGCACAACGGTTTGTCATTGGCAGCTTTGCAAAATGAGTATGGTGGTATGCACTTAAAATCGTGACAAGGATCTGAAGTACGAATTGTAGAGCAATTGTTAAGTCGACTTGTAGTATACAATTTTCCTATGAAAAGTTGTTAGATTTTGAAATCCTATTACAAGTCGKAGGTTGCGTTCAACAGTTTTAGGCATGCCGTAGACGGCGCGATTTGAGTCGTATATTACGAGTCTCATGCGACATTCGTACCATGTAAATCGGCCTTTAGATAAACTTGGAAAGTTAGACGACGACCCTTATCGGGGAAAATTTCTTTTTTCTTAAACGACGCAAGATAAACTTACCACAATGTCCTTTTCTACGCATTCTAATGTTCCTATAATATCTGCACGCCGTTTGTTGAAGAATACATTCATTGTCATAAGTGATACCATCAGATCCACAAACCAGGTCCTTCGTTGTTGGGCATTTTACCGAGCAAGCACAATATGCTTTGTCGTTCCTGACCTTACATGTAGAAAATGGTCGTCTCTTGCAATCGAAACCATAACAACGGTCTAAAAAAGTATAAAAATATACAAAATATACGCAATGATCCAAATAGGCCGCACTGTAAAGAAGAGATATCATTGTGCCTTGCGAAACACCATTAATAGAGAGCTTAAAACAGAACATAGTAAAAAAAAATAATTGTAAAGTGGACCTATCATGGTGCCTTGGGGAACGCCACGGAGTAGTGTAGAACTTAGAACAAAACTTAGTCAATTTGTTAAAAAAATCCGGATTGCAGAGAGGAACTATCGTGGTGGCTTGCAGATTGATAGCTACGTTAAGARTTCATACCACAGTGTCCTCTTCTTCTAACGGTGATCATCTTGCCGCTTCTACAAGAAGCTTGTCTCATTAAGCACTCGTTGTTGTAGGTGACACTGTTAGATCCACAGACAAAGTTCACGGTTTTGGGACAGTTAACTGGGCATGCGCATACAGCTTTGTCATTCTCGACTTTGCATTTTGAATAAGGCTTCCGTGTGCAGTCATATCTCCAGCAACGATCTGAAATAGAGAGAAGGACCAGAGAGAGATAAGTACAATTTTAAAACAACATTTCATCTGTTAASTACAACTTAGAACAAAACGATTTCTTTTTTGGATGGATTACGAACCACAATGTCCTTTTCTTGCAACTKTGATCATCTTTCCTTTCCTGCAACTAGCTTGTCTCATCTTACATTCATTGTCGTACGTGACGCCGTCAGATCCACAGACCAGATCCACCCTGTTTGAACACTTCACTGGGCATGCGCAGACAGCCTTGTCATTCTCAACTTTACAAGTTGAATAAGGTTTTGGGGTGCAGTCGTATTTCCAGCACCGATCTAGGATAACAAATTTTCGTAAAGAAATTATAAAATAAGAAATAATTCTTTGGAAGGATTACAAACCACAATGTCCTTTTCTTGCAACTGTGATCATCTTTTCTTTCCTGCAAGCAGCTTGTCTCATCTTACATTCATTGTCGTACGTGACGCCGTCAGATCCACAGACCAGATCAATCTTTGTTGAACACTTCACTGGACATGCACAGACTGGTTTTTCGTTGACTACTTGACATGCCGAGTACGGTTTTGGTGAACAGTCATATTTATAACAGCGATCTAAGGAGCAAATTTAGCATTATTTGTACCGTAAGTGTACAGCATTTCTAAGTACAAGTTTGAAGATATATTTCAGACTTACTGCAATGTCCCTGCCATCGAATTGTTATCATCGCAGGTTTTCTGCAGGCCGCTCGTCTCATTTGACACTCGTTATCATACGTGATGCCATCACTTCCACAAACAAAACTGATTTTAAGTGGACAGATTTCTGGACATGCGCACACAGCCTTGTTATTGACAACTTTACATGAAGAGTA